AAAATTATTGTAAAAAAATTTAGATAATAAAAAAATAAAAATGCTAAAAAAACCCAACTGATAGGGAGCAGTAACAGCGAGTTTTTGTCAGGTCCCAAGGGTGCTGGACAAAGTTGGTGACCCAACAGAAGCAGAGGGAAAGTGAAAACAAGAGGGCAAGAGAGGAGAGAAAATCATGGATCCAGAATCCTCCTCCCATCCCCACCCACAAAACCAGCACCCTTCGCCCAGGAAAAGAAAAGGAGAAAAAGTTTGGAGGTCACGAGAGAATCCTGAGACATCTGAAAATTACATAGAGTGACAGGTGGGCTCACAGCAGAGCAGGCACAGAGCTGGGGGCGAGGAATAAGCAACTCTGGACTCTTACTCGGAGTCTTCTCTGGCGCCACCTAGTGACCAGAACCAGGTCCCAGAGGCTGTTCTCCGACGGACTCGCCGTTCAACCACCAGTGGGCGGGGCCTCGGGGGGGAGCCTCGAGGCCTGGTCGGGACGTTGGGGCCTGTAGACGCTACAAGCTCCCAGTAGGAAGGACCCCCCCAGGAGCCCCCAAGAGCCCCCCACACTCGCCCAACTGCCTCAGGGAAACAGAAAGGGCCCCGGATCCTCTCAAACTCACAGCTGCGGCGGAGACCGTCAGAGACCATGGGACGCCCCAACAGCGCGCGTTCTAGAACCTTCCTCAGTACCCCACAGGGGAGAGAGCGGCCTCCCGGGAGACCGGCCTGCCCCGTGCTACGGACCAGACCAAAACAGCAAAGACTTGCTCACAGGGAGCCCTCAGAGGTCTCAGGAGCAATTCTCCCCCAACCTGTATGTATGTTTGCTTTTTTTTATTGGCCATGTGGTTGTCTTGTTCGCCGCCATCTTTACTGCCTGTTCGCTGTTTCCTCTAGAGCTCCCTTTTCTCTCCTTTAATATTATTATTACTTTCTCTTCTCTTTCTGTCACTCCCCCCACCTTTCCTCTTACCCCCTACTTTTTTCTCTTACCTTTGTTCCCTTTGCATTTCCACTTCATCCTCCTCTTGCCTCTTAGCCCTTCTTTCACTCCTTATTCTCTTTCAATCCCAGTATTCTTCTGAGACACCCCTAGAGGGACCTACCAGTTCAACAGAGAAATCCGTTCCACCCAGCCTGCAGGCACCTCCCAGTGGGCTTGGCCTCAGCGTGCGTCTGGAGATGCAGGACTCCACACAGACTCCTGACTACCAATGGCTGAGACATCGGATCCCATCCTACCCATCCTACTCTTGATTGATTTTGAAAGGCACCCCTGCTGGAGAAGCAGGGGCTCCTTGAGCAAAGCACAGCTCAGAACAACATCTACCACGATAGAAGAGTGTCTGGACGAGTCCCCAGTAGGAACTGCAGGAAGCCCCCCCTCCCCAACTCCTAAACTCAGTAGCCCCCAATGCCCTGAGAAGAGCAATGAGAACTACCACCTGCCTAGAGCGGGAGTACAGCTAAAGAGAGAAGAGAGGGGGAAACCACAACAGCCTTCAGCTACACCTCTACCCACCAGCCACAGCGGCTCAAAACACACCAGGCATATGCATCCGCACCTCGGCAAGAGAAACCAGAAGTCATGCCCACCAGCAGCATCATTGCAGGGGAACCGTGAACACAACAAAGTTGAAGGCTAACAATAGGATGAAAGAAAAGTACAAATGATCAAGCAGGCCCTTCTGGGAACAGTGCACCACAGAAAGTAAGTCAGCCTTCAGTGTTGCATTGGGCAACACCACACTGATAAAGAAACAGAGTCATGGAGCAATACCTCATGTTGCAAATAGCCTTCCCAGCGAGATCCAGCTTTGTGCTCTTGATTGATTTGAAAGACATCTTTCAGGGTTGGGCTCCTGTACCTAACTGACTGGGTCGTTCTGACCTTGCTTAGGATTTAGAGCTGTAGGTAACAAAATGGTGGCCGAACAGGCCACTTAGGATTAGCAGACCTACACTCCAGAGCCTGATCATATGGACACAGAAGAATATCTCCACTTAACACAGAATTCAGAAAGGCCATGATAACAATTTAATTGATGAAAACAATTAGAGTTAATAGAAAATGCAGAAAGAGATAAAAATATAATCAGTGAACTGAGGAAGAAAGTGAAGGAACTGGAGGATACCCAGAGACTAGTGGAGGAGCTCAAGAATTCTGGGAAAAGCCATGAAAATAGATTAAAAAAAATGGAAGAACAAATCAGTACTCTCGAAGATACGGCCATAAAAACAACCAAAAAAGAAAAGGAAAGAGAAGTACACAAAAGAAAAAGAAAGCTCCAGCAAGGTACATAATAGTAAAGTTTCCAAAGGTCCAAGACAAGGAAAAAATAATGAAACTGACAAGGGCGAAGAAACCGATAATGTACAAAGGAAAACCAATCAGGCTGACATGAGACTTCTTAGAGACTGACAATTCTGAATGACTTGTCCTTTTCCCCTCTGGCCTTTTTGCTTCAAGCTTAACCTTCTAGAGGGTTCCTGGCATTTTTAGTTGAATATGATCAGAATGAATAGTAACACCCTATTTGTTTAAATCAAAATGAAGGTTAAAGCTCCATGACAAGACAAAGTCCAAAATTTGAAAAGCCAGCATGCCACATTGTCATGCTCAGCCACCAAGTCTGTGGCAAAAGCAAACGTGTACACCGATGTAAAGGTTTTCAGCAATTTAATGCTTGTTTTTGAGCATTTTGATGGTTATTTTTAAAATGACTATCCTCAAAGTATTTGAGAAAATATTGAAACATTGAAATGTAGTATATTAAAGCACGTCCATTTAGTTTAATTGTGGAGTTTGACTTCAATTTTGATTTAAAAACTAGTGTGTTATGGAATTATAATGGCATTAAATTCATCAATAATATCTTTAAAATCTGCTTTGGGGGAAATATTATCATTTTAAAAAGACCTAAATACTTGTTTTGTAGAACCCAAGTTTTTTCTTTTGCCTTTGGTGTCAATTGGACTTCTCAAATTGGTAAACAGAGGTGGAGTTTGGCCAACCTCTTACACAATGCATGGGAACCTTTTGGAACTGAATGCAGAACTTTGGCTAAGATTGAATTTTGGTTCTCTCTATCAAGTAAAACAAAATATTTGGAGAGGTTTTCTTTTTATGCTTTTAGAATTGTTCCAGGAATTGACTCAGTCCTTGATGTCACGTATTTGTACTACTAGCAACAAAGTCGAAAGAATTTCATGAGGCTTTAAATGGAGAACTTCCCATCAAATACATTTAAAGTATCATTTTGGTAACTTAATTTTTGAACTGTAAAATAGCAAATAGCTCACATCAAGTGATATGTTCTTGAATTATTAACTACAAGAGAATCAACAGGTGTCAGAAAAAAAAATTCTGTTATGGAATTAAAATGAGAATAATATTATAATGTTCCTCACAAAAAAAAAAGAAAAATTTCCATAAACTTGAACACTCCTGTTAGACATTGTCAATGAATCAGAGTAAGTTGGGAAGGATTATCACCATTTAACAAATAATAGGAATGTCAGTGAAATTGTTTTTAAGGCATAATATTTTCTCTACATGTTGCTTTTACTTATAAACCTTATAATGGGTACTTGTTCTAGGATTAAACTGTGTAGATTAAATGTGTTTAACAATGTTTAAATTGGGAAAAGAATTGACAATGAAAATTTAATGTAACTTAGAATTGTTTAAATAAAAATTTTAAAACAACCCCCAAGACTCAAAACAGGATCAATAACTATTTGCATAATAAAGAGGAATGTATTTATTTGGAAACAGTTCAAGTTTACTGTGGACAGAATTGCTGGGAACATAAGATAGAAGTGACAGAACCTGTCACTCTCAGATTTAGTGAAAAAGTGGATCATGTTCAATTACAGAGCTGCTGTGTACTGATTTAGAGTTGGCAGTACCTTCCCTGTTATTCTCCTGGGTGGTTTCCTCAGAAATTTGCAGTACTTAACAAAATGAAAGTAAAAATGCCTCAAATGTACGTGACTTTCAAATCAGTTTGAAGTTACTGCATGAAGAGAATTTTGATCCTTTTGCTTGAATTAGATTATAAACTTACTCAACATGGACCCTGTTTTCCCACCATGGCTATGCAGTTAATTGATTTGAACCCTCTCTTGGCAAAAAAAATTGTACTCCATTAGGATTTGGCATTGCATCATAAAGAGAGTTTGTTTTATAAATTTGGACTTGAGAGATGGAACATCTGTAGCTTCCATGGAAAACAGAAGAGGCAGTGCTTCAGTTTCAGAGCTTTTTATCAATTCTGTGCCCAGTGGGAGGATTAGCTCATTAACTTGCTAACTAGTAAGCTTAGACAGACGATAAGCATTTCCTATGTGGTGAAGAGAAAGCAGCAGAGATGGGTGTTTTTAAAGACATCCTCATGTAAGTACACTGGTACTGTCCTGGGGGCTGGGTTATAATGCTCTGCAGAAGGATCGTGTTTGTTAAGATGTGTTAGACTCCACGGGGGGGGGTTTTGGTTTCACCAGGGAGAGGATGACAGTTACATGAGACCCTTAAGGGTATCCTGAGTGTGAAGGGAGGGGAGCTGTGTTTCAGGCAGAATTCCTGGAAAAGCATGCCATTGGGGAGAGCAGAGTGGGTTCTTAAAACTAAAGGTGGTTTTAGGCTTTTAAGAGAGTTGTGGCAGAGAAGGGAAGCAGATCACGGAAACACTGTGAGTCGGGTACCCGGTGTCTGTCCGGGCTGGCTCACAGCAGCAAGAGAGCAACAGAAGCTAAGCTGCCCAGGAAAAGGCAGCCGCTGGCTACAGCAGGCAAGTGAGGGGGGCATCAGTTCTTTGGGAAAATAGAGAAGAACATTCAAGATGTACCTTTAAAGGAGGGAGTCCCCAAACCTGAATTCTGGGAGGGAAGGGCTTAAAAAGTATTTGAGTAAAGAGAGGTTTTGAGCAGCTGGTTGCAAATAAATCTGACTGAGAACCTAACATTGTTAACCTTTCCTCTCAAACTGTTTGATTTCACAGAATTGAACAATCAGCAGAGATTCTGCTACAGCTGTCACCTGCTGAAGTTGCCAACCTCAAGGAAGGCATCAACTTTTTTCGAAATAAGAGCACTGGCAAAGATTATATCTTATACAAGCGTCAGGACCAGCTGAGGGCATGCAAGAATCTGTGCAAACATCAAGGAGGGCTGTTCATAAAAGACATCGAGGATTTAGATGGAAGGTACCAAATTTACTTCTTCACCAGGGACCTTCCCCCCTTTTCTTTTTACAATTAGATTTGACAGGAAATATGTTCATATAGACATTTAAAATGAAGCAACTGGGCCTTCCCTGGTGGCACAGGCGGTTGAGTGCCGTGCTGTGAAGCTGTCCGCAGCCTCTGTAGCGCCGGTTCGATCCCGGCCGGCCGGTGAGGGTCCCACATGGCAGGGCAGACCTCTCCTGTCTCGCCCGCTGCTCCCCTCAGCAGTGTGTTTCGTCAGTTTGCCTGTTCTGCTCCCCACTTTGTCTCTGGTGAATCCTCTCACCCTCCTGCACATCTGGCCTGTACCCAGGTTCTTATATAAATAAATAAATAAATCTTTAAAAAAAATAGTACAATAAAATGAAGCAACCCATAATTTCCCCCCCTGTCTATTAATAGTGAAAGTAAAAGTCTCTCAAAATTTCATGACCTTTACTTTACTTTCTTCTCTCTCATGAGAACTCCAAAACTGATTCCCAGTTTGATAAAGAGTCCTAGGGGACGAATGTCACTGTGTAGGAGTGAGTGTTTGAGTGTGTATTTACCTTTATATTCAGAGATGCATGTCTTTATGTTTCTTTTCCTTTTATCTGGGTGGAAAGAGCAGATAAAAGTTGCCTGGCAGGGCCTCCCCTGGTGGCACAGCGGTTGAGCACTAGGCTGCGAAGCTGCCCACAGCCTCTGCAGCGCTGGTCACTGGTGAGGGTCCCACATGGCACTGAAGACCTCTCCTGCCATGCCTGCTGCTCCCCTCAGCAGTGTATTTCGTCAGTCTGCCTGTTCTGTTCCCTGCTGTGGCTCTGGTGAATTCTCTCAACCTCCTGCACTTCTGACTGTACCCAGTGCTTGTATAAATAAATAAATAAATCTTTAAAAAAAAAAAAAAGTTCCCTGGCAGCCTAGTTGTAATTAAAAAGATAGTAATGGCAGTACCCCAATTATACCTGCCCTGCAGGGTGGTCCTTTTGATTTCTTGGAAGAGCTAATGCTGATACCTCCTCCCCCGATCTTTTTTTTTAAGATTTATTTATTTATGCATACAAGAACTGAGGTACAGGCCAGAGGTGCAAGAGTGTGGGAGGATTCACCAGAGACAGAGTGGGGAACAGAACAGGCAGACTGACTGAAATACACTGCTGAGGGGAGCAGCGGGCTAGACAGGAGAGGTCTGCTGTGCCATGAGGGCTGCTCCCTGGCCAGGGATCGAACCCACGTTAGGGCACTGCAGAGGCTACAGACAGCTTCACGGTGCTGCGCTCAACCCCCTACACCACCAGGGAGGCTCACCCCCTGATCTTTGATTAAACCTGCATTTAATCACCTCCCGGGGGAGGAGAAGCCACTGGGACAGGGTTATTTTGTTTGTTTTCAACAACTGCCCCAGAGATAGTAGCACTATCTGGCAGAGCCAGAGAGAGTTCTGGAGTGGGAGGATGCTTTGTCAGCCTTATTTACAGTGCCAGCAGGCATGCGATGTTCCCTACCTTTTAAGCTTTGTGTCAACCTGACCTAGTGGTTTTAGTCATTCCCTTATCTGGTTTTTCTTCCACTGTGTTGTCAGTCTTACTTGGCAGATAATTTTTGGGCAGTTTAACCTGAGCGTACTCAGAAGGAGCTAGATAGTTGTCCAAAATCTCCCTGCTGTAATTGTGCAGGAAACCATACCCAAATCTAACATGTTGTCACACCTGCACCCCCATTGGCTTTAGGGCCTCGAACACACATTATTTGACCTTTACATGTTAAAGGTCTTCGTGCCTGTGACTTGCTTGACTCCTCAAATAAGGTTGCTAGTTGTGTCAAATAAAAATACAGGAAAACCAATTAAATTTACATTTCAGAAAAATGGCTATATTTTTAGTATAAGTATGTCCCAAGCATTGCACCAGACATACATTCAGCTGACATCTCTGCTCTAGGGAACCCTCTGGGAATTACCCTTGGTAATTTGCTGATGGCCCCATTTTGATTTCCTTCCATCTTCTCAGTGGATTCAAGTCAGGGGAACTTCGGATGAATCTAGTACTGTCACTGCTAAACTTCTGCAGGCTCTCGTGGACATCCGGGTGTCCACAACAAATGTCTGTTTACTTTTGAGACTCTGCATTGCCCTTTTTTTTTTTTAAAAAGATTTATTTATGCATACAAGAACTGGGGTACAGGCCAGAGGTGTTGGGGGGTGGTGGTGGTGAGAGGATTCACCAGAGACAGAGCAGGGAACAGAACAGGCAGACTGACTGAAATACATTGCTGAGGGGAGCAGCGGGTGAGACAGTAGAGGTTGGCTGTGCCATGTGGGTTGCTCCCTGGCCAGGGATCAAACTTGTGCTGCAGAGGCAGCAGAGAGCTTCATAGGTTGTGTCTTAACCCCTTGCGCCACCAGGGAGGCCCTCACTTAGCCTTTTAAGCATGTGTTATAGCTTGGTGGTTAAGAACCTGATCTCCACTCGACTGCCTGGTTTAGATTTCTGACCCATCACTTTCTACCTCTGTGACCTTGGATAGCTTTCTTAGCCTTTCTAGGTCTCAGTCCTTTTTTATGTAAAATGACTATGAAAGCATTGCTTTGTTGGGTCACTGAGAGGATCAAGTTATTTTAAACACATGAAGCACTTAAAGGAACCCTGGCACATATACATGATAGACACTCAATAACTGTGTGTTTGCCGTTATTATTACTGAGCCACCAGCTGCTAGGAATACGTAGGGACAGAGAGTTCTTCACAGCAACTCAGATTGTTCCTGGCTCTAGCTTGTCTTCATGTAGTGATGGCTTTACCACAGATTGCCATTTCTGTGTCTCCTCTAAAGGCTGGGGGCAGGTGTGTGTGTGTGTGTGTGGAGGGGTAGGGGTAAGGTATGGGGTCGAGGATCCTAGTTTTACCTGCTAGGTTGACTGCCTAACCTGCAGAGAGAGTGCCCCCCCTAGCTCTCCTGTACCTGGGGGACCCTGCTCTTTGTTCCTGGCTGCAGCTCACCAAGCGTTTATATACTCACACTGCATCCCGAGTCACTCACACCCCACCTTAACCCAAACTTCTCCAAATTTGACAGCTTCTGTTTGGATTCTCTCTGTAATAATTCACCTCAGGGCCTCCCTGGTGGTGCAAGGACTATGAAGTACTATGCAGCAATCCACAGCCACTGCAACACGAGTTCCATCCCCTGTCAGGAAGCTAACCACATGGCGCAGCAGATCTCTTCTGGCTCGCCTGCTGCTCCCCTCAGCAATGTCTTCGGTCTGTCTGTCTGCTCTGTGCCCCACTCTGTCTCTGGTGACTCCTCTCACCCCCCTGCGCCCCCTGGCCTACACCCAGCTTTTGTATGTATAAATAAATAAATCTTTAAAAAAAAAAGACTCTTGTAGATTCTAGTCAAGAATAATAACATGACTATTCTACCCACTCTTCCTACCTCAGTGGCTTTTCTCCTTCACACAGAAACAAGATTGGTCTCTCTGTGGGTCTCTGTTTTGAATACAAACCTCTTTTGCACAGGAAGCTGTCACCACCCTCTCATTTCCTTGCCACGCTTTGAACACTTTTGGGCGCCCACCTATGCCCTTTAACGGCCCAGCATGCGGAATAGTTGCAGCTGGGTTGTTTTAATTTTGGAAAATTTGTTAGCTGCTCATGGGTGCAAAAGGGAATCTCACAATTGGACATTTTCATAAATTGAAGTGTAGAAAAGACTTTTCCTGTTACCAGAGGACATAGAAACTCTTGTTATAATAAAGCTTAGAAAAATCAGCATTGTTCTCTTACATGTTAATATAGACATTTTTGGTTGAATGTGATGTCTCCAGTTTGAGACATACCAGTGTATAAGAAAATGTCTTTGTTTAAAAAAACCACGAGAAACAGTAAAAAAAAGAGGAAGGACTCCCTGTTGGCGCAGGGGGTTGAGCGCAGTGCTGTGAAGCAATCTGCAGCCTCTGCGGCACGAGTTTGATTCCCGACCAGGGAGCTACCTACATGGTGCAGCAGACCTCTCCTTTCTCTCTCACTGCTCCCCTCAGCAATGTTTCAGTCACTCTGCCTGTTCTGTTCCCCACTCTATCTCTGATGAATCCTCTCACCCCCCACACTTCTGGCCTGTATCCCAGTTCTTGTATGCATAAATAAATAAATCTTTAAAAACTTTAAAATTAGGGCCTCCCCAGTGGCGCAGCGGTTGATCTCTGGGTTGCGAAGCTGCCCGCAGCCTCTGCAACACCGGTTTGATCCCCGGCTGCTCCCCTGCCAACGGAGGAGGGTCCCACATGGCGCGCAGACCTCTCCTGCCGCCCGCTGCTCCCCTCAGCAGTGTACTTCGGTCCTTCTGCCTGCTCTGCTCCCCGCTCTGGCTCTGGTGAATTCTCTCACCCTCCCGCGCTTCTGACTGTACCCAGTGCTTGTATAAATAAATAAATCAATCTTTTTAAAATAAAGAAATAAATAAATAATTTAAACTTAAAAAAAGGAAATAATGGAGCTATTTATGCTCCAAATCGCCATACCCTTGTCAAAACTAGTGACAAATGGAACAAGAACTCCTTAGCTTCCTGTTTTGGTTCAAGCTGCTTCTCATTCGGAAATTGGGTTACCAGAATTAACAAATAAAAATGTAGAATACACAGTTAAGCTTGAATAAGTTGTCTGTATATCTCAAATATTGTGAGAGCATGTATTTAAAAATTACCACTGAAATTCTGAATCTGAATCTCCGAAATTCACATTGAACTAGGTAGCCTGGATTTTTTTCTGGCTACTGTGCACTGAAAGCCCAAACTCAGCAAGTACTTTTCTTTGTAAAAATGAAAACCTTAGTTGAACTTAGATTCAGGACTCAATTCCAGGGTTAAGGGGTTGCAAAGTGATTGTAAATCATAGACAACTGTTTTACTACATTCCTGACTTCTCTTGGCCCCAACTGGGTGTCATCTAGCTGAGCCTTATGAGAGGTCATCTTGATTCTGTTGACTCTGCTGATCTCTAACACATGTCCTTTGGTTTATGGAGTTTATTTTTGAAGTCACCCTCTCATGATCGGTCTGTATTTCCTTGGAAATTCAAGCTAGTAATACTTTTCCTTTCATGTATTTTGTGTTCAATCGCCTGCTTTAATTTCATGGCAAAATAATGCATGTCAGCCTTCTAAGATGCATATCCTCATCCTTTTGTAAAACTAAGTACTATTTTTCAACCAGGTCTGTGAGATGCACAAAGCACAACTGGAAACTCGATGTGAGCACCATGAAGTACATCAACCCTCCAGACAGCTTCTGTCAAGATGAGCTAGGTAAATACCGACAGCATGTTCTGGTGTTGTTATTACTGAGATCCTCTCTCCTGCTTGTTCTCAATCTCACTTGAAGTTTTGGGCACATTCTCATTTAAACTACAGGCATTAGGTCTTAAAAAAAAAAAAAAAATAGGGCCTCCCTGGTGGCGCAGCGGTTGAGCGCTGGGTTGCGAAGCTGCCCGCAGCCTCTGCAGCGCCAGTTCGATCCCCGGCTGCTCCCCGGCCACCGGGTGAGGGTCCCACATGGCGCGCAGACCTCTCCTGCCGCCCGCTGCTCCCCTCAGCAGTGTACTTCGGTCCTTCTGCCTGCTCTGGTCCCCGCTCTGGCTCTGGTGAATTCTCTCACCCTCCCGCGCTTCTTACTATACCCAGTGCATGTATAAATAAATAAATCTTTAAATAAATAAATAAACCTTTAAATAAATAAATAAATAAAAATAACTGAACATTCCTAATAGAGGATATTTCCAATTTTTTTGTTCAGCAAATATCTGTTGAGACCTTACGATGTCTGAACCCTGTCCCAGATATTAGGAGATACAGTGATATCAGATTAAAGGGGTCAACTGTATGCATGATGGATTGAAACTAGACTTTTGGTGGTGAATACAATGTAGCATATATAGATATGGATTATAAGACTGTACATCTGAAACCTGTCTGATGTTGTAAACCAGTGTGTTACTTCAATAAAAAGAAAATGAGATAAAATAGTGTAAATAAGATGACACTTACATAAGAAGGAGGCTAAGATAAAGCTGAGGCCAACTGAGACCAGGAATATGCTGATAGGTCTCTTAGGTGCAGTGTGAGGTCGAATAGTGGCTCTGAATATTTTATTAGTGAAGGGACACAAAACAGATGTCCATGGGCTCAGTCCTCTGAATTGTGATTTAATGTCACAGTTTTGCTTGCGAAGTAAGCTTCTTCAAATTCTAAGGTCCTTCCTGGCGTACAGTAGAAGCTATAGTTTATGTATAGTTCTCAGTATCGAGGCCCCATTTCTACATTTTACTTCTCCTCAAGAAAGCCTGCAGAAATGAGCAAGAAGAATACAGAGGAATAAAAATGTTGTAAATGATTAAAATTGAGTATCTCATTAGTAGAAAAAGTTAATGGTGACAATTCTCGAAACTACCCACTATTTCAGAATTACTGCTCTAGAAATAAAAGTTAGTTTTGATCTGACTGGGGAACCACAGAAAGCTTCATGCCAGAGATGACATTTGTGTGGGACTTTAAAAGATAGCAGTTCCCAGGCCGGAGAAGAGAGATAAGGGTGTTTCTCGTAGAAGGGACACTCTGGAGCCACAGCAGCATTTTTGGGTCTAACTGTAGAGTTCGTTGACTGGAGTATAGAGTCCGTGCTCTGAAGTAGCAGAATCCATTGCCAGGAGGGCCTTGAGCGTGAGAGTGAAGACTGCAACCAGAGTGTTATGGAGTGTGCCAAGTGTGGTATTGGGCATTTTGTGTGAATTAGTTCATGTTCTCCTCATGGTGACCCTACCGTCGTAATGGGGAGTGAATTTCAGAGAGTGAGTTTCCTGTCAAAATCAGAACAACCCACAAGTCTCTGTGCCTGTGCATTTTTGCTCGCCTCCTGTGACAGTCACAGTGGACATACCGAGTCTGGTCCTAAGACAAGCCCCACCCAGATATCCAGTTCTTATCCTCTCACCCCTCCACAAGGACTTCAGGACAGCAGTTGTCTTTCTCCTGATTCAGTTTTGCCTTTGCCTGTAATTCCATGCACAATCATATACTCTAGACGCAGCATTCCCTCTTAAGATATGCTCCCATTTTTCTAGCCCTTTAAATAGGTAACCCCCGTCACAAAGGTGTCTACATAGTCATCTCTCTGCCTTCACCTCCTGTTCTCTCTCAGAGGAGCTTCTGTCCTGACCAGCCCACTGACCCTGCTCCTGTCAGAGTCACCAGTTGCTTCCCATGTGGCCAAGTCTTGTGGCCACGTTTCCTCTGTCAGCAGCCCTCATCAGTACACAGCAGGCGTCCCCTCTCCTCCTTGCTCTATGTTCTTTGTACTCAAGAGGCGATACGCTCTGTATTAGTTTCTTATTCGCTGCCATAACAAAGCACCACAAACTAAGTGGCTTGAAAGCATATAGATCTATTATTTCTTACAGTTTCACAGGTCAGAAGGCCAAACCTGTGGTGTCAGCAGGGCTGACTTCCTCAATGGACGTTCTAGAGAAGAATCCATTTCTGGCTTCTAGAGGTTCCTTTTGTCCATTTTCAAAGCCTCAGATCTCTGGCTGTTTTTTTCTATAGTCATGCCTCCCTCTGACTTTCTCCTGCCTCCCTCTTCCGCTTTCAAGGACCCTGTGACACATTGGACCCAGATGATCCAGGATACCCTCCCTATTTTCAGGTCAGCTTATTTGCAACCTTAATTTCATCTGGAACTTTAATTCTCCTTTATAATGTAACCTAACTTATGATAGTTCCTGGGCATTAGAATGTGGATTTTTTTTTTTTTTTTTTGCAGTGGTAAGAGATGGGGAGGGGAGGTCTACCACATTCTTCTGATTTTTATTCTAACCATGCTAGCTCCTCTACTGACTCATCGCATGCTAATCTTCTGAATGTTGGAATGACTTTGGAATCAACTTTAAATTCTTTATCTACACACCCTAATCCCACAACTCTACATGCCATCTTAACTCGGACGCCACCGAAAAAATTACCTCCAGCTTTGAGCTGGAGACTCTGAGTGTCAGTCTCTGACACCAAATGCCTACTCAGTATTTTAATGTGGATTTCTACTAGTCCTGCAAACATGTGGGCAAAATGGACTGTTCATGGCCAACCCCCACTTATCCTCAGACTTTACCTGTTTCAGCCACCCCCGTTTCCATAAGCCACAACCACTCTGCTGCACAAACCTTGAGAGTCACTCTTAGATCATCTCTTTCCTAACCCCCCACGTCCAAACCCCCCACGTCATGTTGACTCTATGCCTGGACACTCTTGACATCTATCCACCCCCTCCATCTCCACTGCCTCCAGCTGAGTGCATGTCACAGTTCTGTCAACTGGCCTCCCTGTTACCATGCTTGCCTTCTCACGTCCTTTCTGCTGACCTCACCCTCTGCCCTTTAAAAATTCCAAATCAATAACCATCATTCTTCTGCTTAAAACTTTCCTACAAGCCTCCTATCACAATTAGGAATGTGCATACATGCATCAAACTGGCAGTTCCATGTCCAAGACTATGTCCTAAGAAATAGTCACTGAAGTGTCAAAAGATAGAGACATAGGATACTATTTATATGGCGAAAAATTGGAAATAATTTAAATATTAGAAATAATTCTAGTATATCTTAAGAGTGATACTATTGAAGAAACTCAATGAGAGGACATTTCTCGTACATGCAGCCCAAAAATCATGTTGCAAGCATTACCTATAGTAGGACTTATTTATCAAAAGTGTATCTGCATAAGCATCTATGGGCAGTAGAGGAGGAACCTGATCTCTGGTTGTCTGTGAAGGGAGCTGAGTTGGAGGGGAGGGGGCTGTCTGGGTTGTGCCTCCAGACTAGGGACTTTGATTATGCCACTTTTTTTTTTCAGGCTCAAATTGTCATGCCATGGTATCTGTATAGAATATCAGGGCCACTCTTGCCATTGTTCTTGGTGGGACCAACTCCAGGTCACTATTTAAAGAAGAGTCTGCACTGCACAGGCATCCTCCCAGCTCCCCTATGAGCAAGGTGTCATTTACTGAAGTCTCTTTCCTTTTCCCTTCAACCCAAAGGAGATGGGGTTGATGGTGTCACTCAAGCAACACCTGGGCTTCTTACACCAGTAAGTCCCAACCCGTTTCTATAGACTTAGTCTAGGAAACCTGCACATTTCCTTGTTGCTGGAACTGGCCACATGCCTGTTAAAATACTGCCCCATGTATTTAGCATAAAGCTGAGAAAAATAAAAGATTTGTACACAATAAACTATGAGTTTATGTTTAAGTGAGAGAACAATAGATTGTACACCTCATCGCTGTGTAACCTAAAAGTCTGTAACTGCTTGGGGCTTTTATAAAACCTCTTAGTCTTGTAGACAAGACCTGTATAAAGGCATTAGAGCAAGATGGCTGAGAGTGAAGATAATGGGGCTTTGAAGCCTGTTTCAGCCTCCCTCATCTCCATAAACCCGGTGCCCAAACACTTGATTGCATGGCTGTGTATGAATATTGCAATCTCTTTGAGCTTTTGTTTCCACAAATGGAAATAATGGTAGTGATAGCAGTTCTCTTTATTGGGTGGCTGTAAGAATGTTCACATCAAATACCTGTTAAATTCTTGGTATTTGGTTCATAGAACATAATGAATGATCTATGTGTGTATGCATACGTACATATATCCATACATGCATATTATGGAATTATAGCACATTATCGGCACTTTATTTACTTCTTCCTTTTTTATGACTGAATAATCCAGTCCGGGTCTGGATATATCACAATTTACTCATCAGTTGGGTGGTTTCCACTTTTTGATGACAAGCATTCATGTCTTTTCAATTTCTTGCTGGTAACCTTTGAAACACAAAATATTAATTTTGATAAAATCCAATTCATTTGCTTTTTGTAACTTGTATACTTCATGTCTAAGAAAGTATGTGTTATATAATATCTAAGTCTAGTATTTAATATACCTATTAGATTAACATACAAATACATTTACACTAACGTACAGGTTTAGAAATCAAACTATTGTCTAATCCAAGATCATGAAGATTTCCTCCCCTGTTTTAAAAGTTTTATAGTTCTAGCTTTTTGACCCACTTTGAGTTAATTCTTACATTTTTTCTGAGGTAGGCGGTCCAACTTCATTCTTCTGTGTGTAGATATCTGGTTTTGGAGCACTATTTGCTGAAGTACTATCCCTTCCTTGGTTGAGTTGTTCTCACCTCCTCATTGAAATTCAATTAATTTACATTTATTTCTGTACTCTCAGTTCTTCCATTGATCTGTATGT